GGCTCTTTCAGTAACAGAAAGGAGCTCAGAGGAGCCCAAATGCTTCATCCACCTCCCGCTGCCAGTCCTGAAGCTGGCTGGGGATAGAGGGAAAGGATTAAGGCTCGGATCATTTCCTTGTGCACTCCTACAGGCTTGCTTCGCTTCCTGTTATTGTCCCGGATCTGCTCCTGCCTGCTCTGCCCGACAGGACCAAGGGGATGCGAGAGCCAGCCTGGCATTTGGCTCGGAAAAAAACCAGCCTCCTTCCTCCCCGCTGCACAGAGGAATAATTCACCTAGAGACAATGTGCTGGCAATGACTTTCCAGACCAATTTATAGCCTGACCTAAAGCTTTCTTCCTGCCCAGGGTGAAAGGAGAAGGAAGAAGGGCTATTTTTTGTTCAAAATAGGTGTCTTTGGTGAGGTAGGCCTAAATCAGAGGGAATTTGGGGTGTTAACACTGAATCTGCTCAGTGCATGTTTTCCAACTCAAGTCATTGCTGCAAGTCAGTTATTAAGGAAACACGCTGCAGATAAGGAGAGAGGTTGTAAGCAGGTTTAAAATTTCCTAAAAAGCTGATAAGATGGTTAAAAAAAAATAAATCCCAGGGTACAGTCTGGCTATTTCTTATATAAAGTGAATCTGTGAGTTCCCAGGGTAATAGACAGCATTCTTCTATCTGTGGCTTCCCGAAAAGGAAATAATACAGTCCGATTAGCTCCGGGAAAGTGGCAGTCTTGCCTTCCTCTCCAGATAAGCCGGAGCAGCAAGCCCATCCAGAAACCTGGAGGACATGGTCTGTCACCCGGCCAGCAGGGACCCCGCTGGTCAGTGCCCTGCAGTGGCTCCCTGCCATTCCCGTTTCTGTGCGCGTTGCTCTCCTTTCCTCAAAACTGGAGCAGAGCCCTTTTGAGTAAGGGTTCACGCACGCGGGAAACAGGGGCAACTTTGGTCCTTTCTTTTCTAGGCAGTGTTAACAACTCGGCAGCCCAAAGAATTTGTATTGCAATCCCCTCTGTGGCTCAGCTTTCAATTCTCTATTCAAGCAGCATGAATGAACCGAAGCCTTTATTTGCATTCTCTTCAAATTGCCCTCCACCGCTAGCATGAGACCTTTGGAAGTTTGTTGCGAGAGTAGCAGAGCCAAGATATTTTAGCCGGGCATGATGCCCCACCGCTACCACAAAAATCACTTCAAAGCAACTGCTGAGTCAGAATAAAGGGGGCTGGATGCATTTGCTTCCCAAAGATCACAATGCAAAGCCCTGCAGGAGGAGGAGCGGGGAGGGAGGTCAATGGATGCAGCATTCCCTGTCCCTGAGTCACTTCTGCAGGAATTCATAAGATCTGGCATCTCCCAAGCACATCTGAGAACAGGGGATGGCCTGGGCGAGGGCACAGAGGTTTGAGGGGGGCTTTATAAAGAAATCCCATCCTGGCCCACAGTTAGGGACACCCTGGGCTGTTGCCCATCCTCAGGTTTGGGTGGGGTAGGGGTCTAAAGCTGCCCGCCCTGCTGCAGCGCGGGGTCAGCAAGCCGGCAGCATCACGTTTGCAAGCCGAGGAGCTGTGTGCTCCAGTGTGGAAAGTGTGTAGAGTTGCCTTCAGGTTTCCTTCCCTGGAGACCCAGAAAAAAGGGGGAAAAGTACCTTTGTTCTCCTTTGGCCTTCACCTTGCTGCAGCTTTTAAAAAGTGAAGAGCTGGCCCTTTGTGTTATTTTCAGTTCTGGAAAGCAAAGTGTATTCATAAGGACTTTTTTTAGGTTTTCTACAGCTTTTAAACTGATGCAGTATTTTCTCCTGCACCTCCCGGAGAGCGGTGTAGCTCACCGTATGCCGTACGCCTCCAGGACAGCTCTTGCTTTGGGGAGGAAGGGAGCAATGGCAGCTGCATGTGCTCTGCAGAGAGCTCAGACTGCCTGGGTCCCCAAAGCAGACATGGGGTCATCCCTCCCTCCCTGACCCTAGGTGGTTACCACTCCCTCCTCTTCCCTTCTCCACCAAGGGACCTGCTGATTCCTTTTCCCAGGAGGCACAAAGGCAGGGGAATGGTGGGGAATGTCCATCACGGCCCCTTTCTGCTACTCATCCTTCTCTCTTCTGCTCCAGCCCTGGGTAATCACCAGCTGGGCCCCCAGTGTGTCCAGACCCCCATCTTATCTAACATCCAAACCTGCCGAGAAAATAGCAGACTGCGTCTTGAGCTGGGTAGGAAAGGATGGTCCTGCCCCATCTTAAGATTTCAAAACAATTCCCACTCTACATTTGCTGAAACCTCCTGAAATTTTTCAGCAGAAGGAGATGAGTCCACCCCGCGGTAGCCCAGAGCCTGGTTAGCATGTGGGCTTGGGCAAGCGGGCACAGAGGATGAAATCCCTGCCCTGATGCCTGCAGAGCGGGCACCTGAACCTCCCGCGTCCCTTCATCCCTTTGAATCCTGCCTTGCTAAAACCAGTCCGGTCCTGCGGGAAGTGCTGATTTTGATGAATCAACATTTTCCAGCAAAAAACGTGGCATTTGCAGTTTCCCAATCAGTCCTAATTGAGAGCATTCAGAAAAAGCAAACAAACAAACGAGCAAACCAAACAATGGAAGAGGGCAGGAAATGAGCCAGGCATCTCCGAAGAGCTGTCCTCGCCCGAGCATCACTGCCAGGGCAGGAGTGCCAGCAGACAAAAAGCTCTGCAGTGGACGCAGGAACCACCATGCTCTGTTGCAGGAGCTTGACCCTGCTGCAAGTGACTGCTGGTCCCTTTGGTACTTAACACTTGTAGGCTATCTCTGTAATGCAAGATGCAGCTCTGATATTACAAGTGAGGGCTCTAGACCCCTCCAGTCTGTGCCTGTCCTCGGCATGACCCATGTGCCCCATTCCTAGAGAAGCCAGAGGTATCTCCACAGACTTGGCTATATCCCTCTTCTCACAGCTGTTTCCGTCACCACTATGCAGCACTTGGAGAAGTGCTAGTACTAGTCTGGCAGTCAGGCACTCAAGGCTCCTCCTACACCACCTCTTTCTCTTCCAGTATTCATATTTCCAACATTTCCCAACAGCAGACCTGTACAATTTTGTGAGGTAGGTACAGATGGAAGTCTCAGATTTGCAGTAGAAAGTCTCGGTCTTGTCACCGAAGAGCCTCTCTGCTCACTTGCTTTCCATGGACCCCTGACTCTGAGTGCAGGATCTTAGTGATGCAGGACAAGTCCAGGCAACTCCAAACAAGTCTTGGGTTTTCAGCTGTGGAGGGGGGCACTTCTCTTGGATGTGCTTTCCCTCCACACTGTGCAAGCAGACTCGACGCTCTGCCTTTGGGATCAGGGTGGCATCTTCTTGGGGCAGATGGGTGTATGGGGTTGCTGGAACTCCGTTGCATGCCTGAATATGATGGTGGCCTTACCATGAGCAATAGCTCTGCTATTTTTACTGCAGTAACACCAGTCCTGATCTCATGGGGCACCAGGACAGGTAGGAGAATTGTTTCTAGGGAGTCCCCTTTAGAAACCACCGGAGCCATATGCTGTGAGGTTTGGTGGGAGTCAAGTAGCTCAGAAACAGGAAATGTCTTGCCATGCTTTCATAACCACAACATTTTGGCCCAAGGCTGCCTGTCACAGTTGCAAGCTCTGCTGCTGGGAACAGTCAGTGGGCCCAGAGGAAGAGGCAATGGAGAGGGATGGAAGGGTGCTCGGGGGGAGCATCACCGGCAGAGCAGCACTGGTGTGGCAGCTGCAGGAGGCGGCCCCTGTCATGGGCTCTTGGATGCATCAAGGGAGCCCATATGGAGGGTCACCACGGGGAATCGCTGGTGCTTTCTGACTTCCTATGTTATGGCTGTGTCTTCTTCTCAGCAGCTCCTCCAGCTGCTCTTCCAGCCCTTCAGTTTGCAATGGCTTTGCCAGTTTTGTGCTCATGATAGGAGTGAGAGCAACACATCCTGGCAGAGATGAGATGGCAGCTTCCATCTGCGCTGCTCTGATGGAGTCAGTTGGATCTGGTTTGGGAAAAGAGGCTGTTAAAACCACAGCCTCCTCTCAGACCAGCTTTCAAAATCTGCCACCAGCAAAATGCAGCCCCGGCCACTGCAGCCAACTCTGCCAGGCTGTGCCCATCCCACGGGGACCTCTTGCATGGCTTCCACTACACTGGCATGGGAATCCCTTGGCAGAAGGGACATGACCCTTCCCCACACTCTCTGCCACCCCAGCTAGCTGGCATTGCCGTGGCAGCTTTTCCTCCCAGAAAGCGACAATTTTGGGGCCAGGTGCTTGAAAGAGGTTTGCAGCAACCTTGAAATGCCCAGCTCTTGGCCAATACACTCAAAACTCCTTTTGGATGAAATCCGCTTTCTGCACATGACTTGTCAAATACTTGTGAACGACAAGCACGTCCCACAGCAGGGACGCTGCCTGGGCCTCCCACAAGCAGAAGGGGGAACTGGACACACTTTCTAAATTGGTCATGGCGGTCATCCATGATTTTTCTGGGTACAATTAATAGGTGACTTAATTCTTTGCTTAATCTGAACTGTTTCCATTACGCAGCTGAGGAAGTTCAGTCTCCCAGCTGCCTCACTATATTTGGGCTGTGAACTGCAGGAAGTTGATCAGCATGACATTGTCACAGATATTCCCCTGTAATATTTCCCTAGAAAGAGAAATCCCATTCAAACCTCTCTGCCTTCTCCTCACACCCCGGGCACCAGGGGTACCGGATGCTCTGCCTACCTGCTCTGGCGCTGAGTAATCCTCCTCTCTCCCTCCCAGGGAGTTCATCTGGACAGCTGAAGGATAGTGTGACATGATGGGTGGCTCCAGGACCTTTTAAAACTGCCTTACCCGAGCACAGATGACGACACCCTAAAGTAAACGTCAGTGCCCCCTCCCCAAGATGTGGACGCATGAACCAGCACAGTCCTTCGAGTAGATCCACAAAGTTTATTCAATTGCTTTGAAGGTGCAGTAGCATAAGTGCGTGTTTCTGCCTGCGGCCTGTGAGCTCCCTGCCGCTGGCCTTGCCACTAGTTGCAGTAGTTTTCCAGTTGGTAGAGGGAGCATGTGTTGTGGCAGCATTGCTCAACGATCCCTCGCTTCACTTTCTCAAACTCCTCCTGTTGGAAGGGCAGCTCCCCTACCTCATCATGCAAGGGACCGCTCACTGCCAGGAAAGAAAAAGATAAGCCGTGGGACATCACACAGCATCAGCCCTAGCTGTTAAGCCCCGCAGAAACCCCATTTGCAGACATCAGATTTTTAAACCAGAGTTGGCTGGAAAATGGGGAGGAAGTTGCAAAGGTTTCCCCAGGTTGATGCTGCTTGTAGCACCTTCAGGCTCTGTGTTTCCTCTCCCAAAATAATCCTGTGGTGCTTAGAAGGAGCCAAGCTGAGTGGATATCAGCAGTGTGAGGGACAAGGAGATACAGGGGCTTTATTGAGGCAGGCATGTGGAGAAGAGAAACCTTGCACCCTCCCTGGGGTGAGCAGCTAGTAAATAGGAGGATAAAATGGGCTGGTCTGCTCCAGAGAGATGAGTTGCTTGGGACTGCAACCCCCTCGGGCAGTTACCCACTATTCTGGGAGCCTGGGCAAACAACTGGAATGTTCGTGGGATTGCATGGACGGTCCAGTCCTGGGGCTGGATGCACTTCCCAGCTGGTCCTGAACAGCCTGCTCCTGTTGGCTGCCTGGACGTAGCCTCGAGCTGATGGCAAAAGCGTTCATGTGTGTCCCTGTTCACGGCTGGGGGATGAGTTTTTAGAAGAATGATGAATTGGTGTATTTGGACACAGACAAAACTCAACAGAATGTCTCATTTGCTGGTGGGAACTTGAAAACTTGTGGACAGAACTGTTCAGGTTTTAGTTGCCCAATGAAAATACAGAAAATGGCAAATAAAACAGAGATTTTTTCTGTAGGAAGAAAAGAGACCCTAACAACAAAAAGAAAATGCCTGGAAAGTGAGAATGAGATGAGGTTTCTAGGGCAATATGAAAGTACAGCACAAGATGCAAAATCCCCAAGCCCCCAAAGCGTGATGCAATGAACGAGGCACAAGAGTAACAAGAAATCATTATGCTAGTGTGCTAGGAGGAAAATTTAGGAAAGGTTTAGTCCAACATTAAGTAGAAGAGGAAATAGCTAGTCAATGTTTTGTGATTTACTTGTCTTCATCCTTCAAGCCAGCTGTGAGTAGACTGTAAACACAACCAGCTTGTGTGACAAAGAAGTAGTGGCCCAGGCAAAAATCCTGGAACAAGAGGTAGAAAGTCCTCAGATACTTTCAAACTGGTTGGCCCTGATGAAATTCTCAATACCATATTTAGGGAACTGGCTAACAAAACTTCCAACCCATTCGTGGTGGTCTTCAGAAACAAATCATCAGAGAAGGGAGCAACTAACAGCCCAGCTGGCCATTCAAAACAAATCATGGCAAACCTCTGCTATGACATTACCTTGCTTCACCTTCCGAAGACCTCTAAGACTATTTCACGAGATGGTTGCATACGCAGGAGAAGGAATTGTATACACATGAAACCAGTGTGTGATGGGAAGAGAACTGGTGGGAGAGGCGTATCGTAGTCAGGGGAGGTTAAGTAATGGTCCATCTTGAAATGAGAGGGTTGAAATGACTGGAATTTGGCAGCGGTCTCTTCTGCATCTATTCAAAGTCTCCGTTAGTAGCTTGGAAGACAGAAGAGAGAGTGTACTTGCTGGATTCATAGAGGAGCTAAAGCTGAGAGGAACTGCAGGTACCCATCTCCAGGAGAGACATCATCCTTGCATTACAGCTGGAGCATTACAGGTCCTGGCTCTGCCTAGATACAAACATCATGTTGAAGAGCAGTTCTCTTCAGAGAAGAGCAACTGCCTCATCCCACCTGCACTGTCATGCAGACACAATGTGCTGGACCAGGGGCAGTGACCCGGCACCAAGGGTGTGCGGGCAGGGCTGTCATCTCCTCCTGCCTCCTGGCCCTTGCACTCATCAGTAGTCCAGGAGTCCTAAGGAGGGGAACCAAAGCAGCTCCACCAGCATTTCACCACCATGAAATAAGATGTGATATAAAGCTGTGGGGGGTGCAAGCCTCTTGAAGGGCAAGATTAGTGCTAAAAATTACCTTTGAAACTATAGAAACACTGAAAAGATGGGATGCTGTTCAGTAGGAAATGGGAAAGATGCTAAAGGTAGGCAGGAAGACTGCATTGCGCATCCAGGATGAGGGTTTGACTGTGGTAGCAGTCCTTCAAGGACTGCTGATCCACCCGAGGGAGGGCCAAGGCATCCAAGGGAGACAGTGATCACTATCAATAAACAGTACAGTGCTGCTTTGAAAAAGGCAAACCACCTGTGTAGGCAGGAACATGGTGTGAAAAACATGCAAAATCATTCTTCCAGTTTGCTCACTCTACTTGGTACTGGCAAGGCCTCAGCTGGGGTCCTGTGCACTTCTCCAGGCATCACCAGTCAGTAAGGATGTGGACCAAATGCAGAACAATTTGCATGGACGGAGATCTAGAAAATATGACCTAAGAAGGTAGTGGGGGGTGTAGAGGGGATTTATCTAAGAGCAGGTTGAAACTAGACATAGGAACAGTCTTCAAATATTTTGAAAAGCAGCCATAAAGAAGAAAGGATTAGACTCTTCTCCATGTCCACTATGGAGAAGACAAGAAATAATTTACAGCAAGGGATGTTCAGGTTAGATATGGGGAACAAACACTCAAGAAGAAGGTCAGTTAAGCATGGGAATGGGCAGTTTCAGAAGGCAGAAGCAGCTTCCTCACTGGAGGTTTTTATGCACATACTAGACAAGCATGGGTCAGAAATAGGATGGGGACAACTGATCCTGTCCTGGGGCAGAAGGAGGCTTCCTGGGTTCCTTCCACCTTTATTTTATATGAACAGTCCCAGGCTGGTGTAATGGCCATACAAAGAAACAGACAAGTTTGAGCTTTCAGCCACAATTCCTTTTGCCTCATAAATCCTCTTTCCTGCCTGCCCTCCCATCTGCCTTTTTAACCTGAAGAGCTTTTCACTGGCAATGTGATGCTGTTGGTATGTTAAAGGTATTCCTGGCATTCCCCATCAAGGACATTCTTGGTGTCACCGTCAAAGATAGGCGGTTGTTGGCTTTTGCATCGTATAGCATACGACTGCGTTCAAGGTCAACCTGACTTACCTAGAGGCTGCTCAACGTCCCGTCGGGCTTTGGGGGAGTAGAAGAAACCCCGCTCTCCACACACCAGGTAGAGAGCCTCCACCAAGTGGGAGCCGCAGAGGTGCTGGTTGGCAGCCGCGTGGCTGGTCCCAGGGCCAGAAAGAGCAAGAAGGGCCAGGAGAGGCAGCGATTGGATCCAGAGAGCCATGGTGAGCACGGTGAGGCCTAGGGTTAAGAGGCAAGAGGAGGTCTAGGGGGGAGAAATAGGTTGTCATCAAGCATCTTATGTCCTTCAGCTCCTTTGGCATGAAAATGAGACCGAAGTAGCAGATGGACCTTCTAAAGATGCCCTAGCTTGAGAGGGAAGGAGAGCTTTCTGCGTCAGGCTTTACAAGTCACAGTAAATGACGAATTATTATAACCAGAAGTCCATCTCCATCCACATGCCCACATCATGTGGCCTCCCTGCTGTCTTCCCCCAAAAGGCCAAACTAGACTGGAAGAGCCATCCCACTGAGCCCTGTAGCGTACATGCCCAGGAGAGCTGAGATCAGCAGACACTTTCAGAGGAAAAACCCTCTCTTCCAAGTCAGAAGGGGCTGTTCTTTATGATGATGGCCCAAAAACAGCACAATGTGTTCAAAGACCTGGGGAGACCTAATTTTCTTGGACTAGCGAACCAGCACTTGTCAGCATCAGTTACATCAACTTAAGAAAACAGCTCTGCAAAACAGGTAGGAGCTAAAAGGGCAGCAATCACACTTACCCAAAGAAGTGGCAGCAAGAGATGGAGAGAAGTTTGCTCTGAGAGATGAAGACTGTTCGGTTGGTAGTAATATCCCCATTGTCTCTTTCCCATATTTATATGCTTTACGTTAGCCCAAGTGACACAAGAGCTACCACAAGCCCCACCTCCTTGATGACACTCTAGCCAAAATTTTTGCTGCTTGTGCACATTAATTTCTCTCTACGTAGCATCAACAGGTCTTTATGCAACTTAAGATAGAAGCAACAGTTTGCAGTTTCCATCTCATTTCATCTGACCTGTTTTTGCTTCCCTGAAGCTCTGTCCTGAGCCATCAGTGACCCTTTTAGCAGGAGATAATGGTGCTATTACAGCTGCAATGATTACTAATGACACTAATGCTGGCAATAGGCACTGCTGGCATTGAGGTGGCTCAACAGCTGTTTCTAAAATGTAAAATTAAAGGCAAACATGTTAATCTGTTTGATTAATATCACCTTGGAAAGTATGCAGCAATGGGACCAAGTTGTCAGTGAGTCCATGCTACTGTCAGGTGTTAGAGGAAGGAAAACACATTATTGCGCTGAGACTATCTGTGGTCCCGCTCGCTGGCCACGCGGTGCACAGCGAGAGACACGCATCCACGGCTTGGGCTGGGGGAGGAATAACATCTACATTTTGCAGGAGACCTTGAGTGGTCGTTTTAGCTCAGTGCAAGGCCAGAGTTAGAGCATGTGAAATTTTGTATGTGAAAAAATAAGCCTTTCCCCCTTCGCCCAGTGAAAGGCAGGTCCCCTCCTTCATCTGCCAGGTGCCCCTTTAAATTCCTGTTTGTGATTAAGCAGAGCAGAGGCAGTCTCTGCCGTTTGCAGGTGAGAGCTCTGAGCACCTCAGCTCTTCTCTCTGGGGCTCTGCCCAAAATTGTGTCTTCGACACCAAGAAACATTGCTGGTAAATCCCAGTGAAAACCAGGAGACAGCTGATTATCTCCATTCTGGCTGGTAAGTCTGCTTTTAATTGGAGATGATGGGCCAGGGGTAGTCCACTGGCTTTCATGGGTCTGATTTTGGCGACAGATCTAGCTTTCTCTCTCTCACACAACATTACCCCATTTTTTTGATGCTCAAAAATAGCATGGATGCCTCCGTGCTCAACTTTTCTGCCACCAATAGCATGCTTGCACCTTTTTCTGCTTATACTTTTTTTTTTTCTGCCTGAAAAGGCCCTTTTTAAATGCTGGGGATGAGATTATCTTCAAACTTCCTATTGCTCTAAATTTTGAGACTACAAGTGCTTAGCACCACTGAAAAGGAGACATTTTCATCTGTTTGAACTCTGCTGCTTGTTTAACTTAGAATAAGCCTGATTCTCCATACACAGTATAAATCAGAAGGAAGTTCACCAAAATCAGCAGAATGCCTTGAGACTCAAACCAGACTTTTGACTTCTTGAGTAGCTAAAGCAATTCCATCCATCAGCATCTAGGAGGTAGGAAGTCCCATATGCCCCTGTTATGGCTTTATGTGTGGAGTATCATATGTTTGCCAAATGACTGTGATTGCAAAAAGGCTTGTGAGAAGTGCTAAACCTCTGATGAGCATACAGGGAGGGGACTCATTTGCTCAAACGGATGCGAGACAAGGTTATCAGTTACATCCCCTGCCATGTAGGTCTTTCGGCCTCCTGCTAATAAATCCAAGTTGTGATTCTCAACTACAGTTAATAGCATCTCTGCACAATGTGTAACGCTATCTCTGTCTCCCTTCCCCTCAAAAAAGATATTGGATGTACTTGAATGACCTAGTGGTATACCCATGAAGAGGGCCTCAGGTTTCAGCAAGATATGAGTACAGGGAATTCACTTACTCAGACCTTCTTTCTACAGGGAGAAGATGGGGAATTAGCAGCTACACAGGATAAAACCTGGCATTTTACCCCATTTGAAGTAGGTTGTCAAAGCCAGGAGCAGAAGCCTTGTGCCACTCACGCTTCCTCCCGAGCAGGGAGCCCCCACCCAGCACCTCACACGAAGGGGATGACTTGCAGAATTACCCTACAGATCCCCTTAGCAGTCATTTTCCTGCGGTCCCCACACTGCATGAGGTCCAATGGACCTCAGTCCAGTGGTCACCTTGGAAAGGCTCCAGAGCAGGGTGTTCCCCAGGTTAATCACATGCTGAGATTTGCCATTTAGGGTTTTCTTTCTTACACTTTTGAACATTACCTGAGCTCACCTGAACTTATGTTTTAATGACAGTGGGACTTTGTAAGGAGGGTTCTCTGTCCACTATCTTCTTTCTGGGTAGCTTCCCTGATGGGTTTCCCCCTTCCCCGGGGCTTACCCCACTGATGTAGCAAAAAAAGCTATTTTATTTTGTGTTGGAAGTGTCATGTTATTAGTCTGTTACTTCTCTTACTGTTGGCTAACCAAATCCTGGAGGTAGCTTCGAAAAGCTCGTGGCATTTCTGCAGCATGCCCCAGCAGGGGAAGGGCTGACTGTACCCGAGTGTTCAGGAATCTCTCTTGGCTCACTGCAGTTTGGGTGCAGAAATAAGCCAGAAGATTTATTGGAAGGAAAAAAGATATCACATTGGCTCAAAGTTCAGCACAGGCCAATTTTTTTTGCAAAAGTTTCCTACTATGATTTTTTTTTCCCCTTCCAAAATATGATCACTTTGATTATTTATTGGAAACTGTATTTTCTTACCATAAATGGTTCTTTGGAATATGAAAAGTGCTAGCAGTGATATAAACGGATATAAAATGGATATAAACTGCGGAAAGTTTTGCCTTAGAGGGAAAACTCCCATGTCAGCATGGGAGAGAGCACTGAGAGAGGGGGCCAACAGGGGAGCCCATTTCTCAATGGAGAAGCTTTTTCTACAGAAAAATCTCAGCTCACTCCTTCCAGGTTGGGCTTCCCCATGATTTTCATGTGATTAGGCAGCGATGGGCCAAATGCTCATCCATTGTTTCAGCTACATGTGCATCCCATGACCTCCCCAGATCCTCAGCTCCATGTTGGGCTTACTTGGCTGAAGGGTGGGAGCAGCTGGGTGGGAGTGAGCTGCTCCTGGTTCCTGTGCTTCATGCCAAACCACCTCTGGACGTGACTCAAAGCCACCTCCCTCACTCACATCCCCCCGACCCCGAGCAGTTGCATCAGTGGGAATGAGGTTTAGGCAATCCCCGGTGTCATGTAATCAAGTTTTACAGTCCGTTGCCAGCACAATAAAATCTTTACTACTGTAGATGTCTAGCATTTTCGAACCCTGTCCTGAAAAAATAACAAGCCCGCTATGGGGGAACTAGTTAACAATTACAAGTTTGTGCAAGTTTTAATGACAGCAAAGGTTAGGTCTAGAGGCAAGCAAGTTCTTGGAGAGCACCCAAGGACCCCAAAACACCACCCGTGTCTCCACCGCTGCTCTCACGCTTGGCAGCCACTGCCAGAGCTGCTCTGCCCATCCCTGGGCATGTGTTGCCCCAAAAGCAGAGCAGAGAGCAATGCAGCAGTGTCCGCGTGCCTCCTTTTCCCTGGAGGGCAAATTTGGTGGCTTGTGAAACAAATAGCCCCAGAGGAGGCACCGCCTGCCAATGCACCCCTGTGCTATACCAGCAGCCTGCTGAAACACGGCCCTGAGGCACCCGGAGGGGACTGCAGCTTTTGGGGGTGGTCAGCCCCTGGGATGTGCCCCAGTATGGCCACTGGTAGTTGGGGATGTGTAGTTGGGGCAATGCATTCAAGCACATGAGCCCTTTGAGCTACAGAGGTGTAGCTTTTTGCTCAGCACGGGGAAATGGAGACAACCCGGGGCCCAGCAGTTGTCCCCCCCAGGCTTTGCTCTGCTCCCTGTGCGGGGTGCAGCAGCACCCGGCCGCATGGCATGGAGCGGGGAAGCTGGTGCTCCTTGTGCATCCTCAGTGCTCCTTGTCTCTGTGTGGTTTCCAGCAGCTGTGCTCCCATTGGCGTGTCCAAGCACCCGTGGAGCAGCAGCATGCGACTGCCCCACCAGCAGCAGTGGCGCAAGACGAAGGGCGGGGAGGTGAACCTGGCACCGAGGAGGGTGCTTAATCATGGGAATGCTTGCAACCAAATCCTGCGATGCCTGCAGAGATACGTGGCAGGTGGGGCAGCTGCCATGGGCTAGAGGGGTGGGAGGGGGGGCTGCTATAGCCACGGACACAATGAGAGATGCCCTTGCTTCAAAAGGGGCATTGTGCAAGCAGAGAAGGGGGCCACTCACTGGGATACAAGTAATCTCAGCTGCTCTATAAACTAATCCGGGTGGCCGCCTGGGTGCAGGGCATGTGAGCTGTCCCCATTGCCCCGCTGGCTGCCGGGCCCAAGGGAGACGCTCCTGCCAGACTGTGGATTTCACAACTTTCCAGGCTCTTCCAAGCCAGGGACATTATCTTGCTGCTTAGAGCACAAAGGGTTGATCCATAAAACGGAGGGTGT